ATTATTTATAAACATAATGACCCAGATGTCTACAACTGTAATGGGTCTCTATTTCTAAACTGTATATTAATTAGCCAAAGGATAAAATACGGTGTAATTGTATGTAAGTTGCCATACCTCAGATAATCCGTTGTGAAATCTTTGGTCTTTTCTTTGTTGCAGTAAAATAAACTCTTTAGTTTGTCTCCACTGTTCCCCTTACCTCGGCGTCCTGCAGGACAGCGGCTTGCGGGTGGCTCTGAAGATGACGTAGCTAGTGATGACGGAGAACATCCCCCACATGGACAGAAAACGCCACCAGTACAGTTTGATGGTGAAGTAAAGAGGAACCACCCACATCTGGACCAGAGTCACCAGCTGTTGAGGACAGAGACGTAGTCCGTATTCAGTATCAGACTAAGCCTGCTGCATACAGTGGTGCGAATGGAAAATAGCACGTTTCTTCTCTCCCAGAGGACCAAGTCCTTTATACAACATCCTCCATTTACCCAGTCAGACAAACTAAACTTTAGCTGCTTTTTCACTAACATTCACACACACATTAACAGCAATTTGGAGTCTCCATCTTTCCCAAGGATAATTGCCTGAAGCAGAGTAAATACAACATGAATTATTTAAATTATTTCCAAAAGTTATCCAAACCTACCTGGCCATATGTGAAAAACTAATTGCCCCTTATCCACATAACTGGTTGTGCGACCCTTATGGGGAAAAAAAAAACTGCAAACAACTAACTGCCAATGAGCACCATGGAGGAATTTTGGCCCACTCTTCTTTGCAGAATTGTTTTAAATCAGCCTTGATGGTGGGGTTTTGAGCATGACCTGTTTAAGGTGAGGCCAAAGCATCATGACTGGATCATGTCCAGACTTTCACTGAGCCCAAAACCCCAAAACCTTCAATTTGGTGTTTTTGGAATCAGTCACTCGTGGATTTGTTCTGCTGCATAATTGAACTAAGCTTAACTGGACATTATCCTTCAGGATTTTCACCTGCAGATGGGGAAACAGCATTGTTGTACATCACTGCTAGCAGGAGTGAGTATATGCTAACAGCTGCAGTTAAGCTTACATGTGCAGAATGACACTGACACTGACACAATAAATGCTTGTAAACAAGTGTAGGGTGACTTGTTTCCTCTGGAGGATTTCCTTTGTGAGAAAATAACATTAGTAATGTAGTTAAGGCTATAAAACAGGCAAAAAGATTAAGTTTTCTCAGGAGCCTGAGAAAACTTAATCCTCAATATTAAAATATAAAAAAAT